AAAAGATGGAAAAGTTGTACAATAACTTTTGATTGTTAGCATGAAGTAGCACCTTCTGTCTGGATACACCTTAAAATTGTAAAATATAGCGGTTAAATCTTTAAGGTGCCACAACTTTTTTGGTTACAAAAAAAAAATCTGCTAAGAAAAAAAGATGGAAAAGTTGTACAATATCTTTTGATTGTTAGCATTAAGTAGCCCCTTCTGTCTGGATACACCTTAAAATTCCCCATGTCCAATTTCTTTTGATGGTGGGGCTTATTTCTTGGTTTTATGCTCTAGTCTTCCTAGAAGTGATGCTTTCCAGATATGTTGGTGTTCAATTCTCATTGGCCATTCTGACTGGAGATGATGGAGTTGTAGTCCCACAGAACTAAAGAGGGTCACCTTAGGAGGGCTAACATGTGCCTACAGAGGTTATGTGAAGTCCCCATGTTCATTGTAATGTAAAGCACGCATATGTTTTCCTGCTCTTGACATCCTTGTGGATGTCTCTGAAATTTCACTCCTTACTTTAAGCCGGCTATGTCATTTAGTGTGGCATGACAACCTCACACAGTATTACAAACATAGTCATTGCACTTAAGCCGGCTATGTCATTTAGTGTGGCATTACAACCTCACACAGTATTACAAACAAAGAAGAAGCAAGAACATCTTCTTAAAAATGGGTTCATAGTTATGTGTTATTCTTTATTGCATTTAAAAAAAATGTATCTAAAACAGTAAAAACCCATAAAAACAGTATTACAAACATAGTCATTGCACTTAAAAAATTAACAATTTTATCAGTCATTACATCATTTTGTGAAAGGAAGAGATAATTAAATCCCTGTTACTCCCCCAAAAGTAATGCGTTAATAAGTAACTTCATTCCCCATAATACATTACCTCTAAGGTTTGCAAATAAATTATCAATTATCAACAAATAATCAATCTTCCACCAAACTATTGAGAAACCTTTTATTCTTGACACAATTTTTATTAAATGGAAAACTGAATGGGAGCAATATGTTTTAATTAAACATATTGAATTAATTATGATTATTAAATACAATTTTAATCATGTTATGTATTGTTTCATTTTTTTTACTAAGTAAATGTTTTTTTTTAAAACCCAACTATTACAAACAAATAAGAAGCAAGAACATCTTCTTAAAAACAGGTTCATAGTTAACCTTCCTCCACACCCCACATGTGCTTGGCTAGGTACATTTTGTGTGTTTATGAAATGATGCTCTCAGCATCTTTGAAGAAAAGTAAAGCCTTTTGTTCGATTTTGGTACACACAGACCTCTTCCTCGTTGTTGCGGTTTTCAAGGGTTCCCTTCTCAATGGGACTTCCCAACACAGGGCACTGTCTTGGGTTATATGGGGCCAAAGAAGCAGTTATCTGAGAAGTGTTGCTGAGTGGGATTTATCTTTGATAAGACCTCTAGTGCTGCGTCAAGGTGAGGTGGGTGGGTGTCCAAGCAAGCACAATGTGTGTTACATGCATCCCATTCACTTGCTGATACAGATCCTTCAGGGACTCTGCTCAAATTCTCATGCATTGGTCCTTGCACCAGGGTAGGGGAGTAGGAAGGTGAGGCCAAAGGGACAGGAGGAAGTGACAAAGGAACTGACATTGCTTTTTCTCTGCTTTCTGTTTTGAAGGGACAGCACTTGACAATTACTTTAGTCACAGGTTGGCCCTCAGCTATAAAAAGTTTGATCTGTTTTCTGATTGAATAATTGCTGATAAGCTACATTAGTTTTATTCATTTAAAATCTACTGAGTTGGCGCATGCATAAAGTAATACCTCTGGGGAAAAACACTATTTCTTAACTTTGTGTTGAGATGACACATACCTTTGTTATGGCGGGTACTGTTGTTGTTGTTGTGTGTCATCAAACTTCTCCTTCAACTTCTGGCAGCCCTATAAACAAATGAACTCCAAAATGTCCTATTATTCAAGTGTTGTGAATATAAGCCTGTGACTTCCTTTATGGAATCAATCCGTCTCTTGTTTGGTCTCCCTCTTCTCCTGCTGCCTTTAACTTTTCCTAGCAAGGTGCTATCTTAGGAGAGAAATTCCTTCATCAGTAAAAGAAGACAAAGTGTCTTGTGAGACTGGGTTGGGCATGACTGTCATGGATTTGGTGTGTACTTTGATTCAAATATAATTCTTTCTTGGAAAAAAAACCACTGCCTAGTTAATTGGGTAGACCTTTTTAATCAATCAAGTATTTTTAACAATACATTTGATTAACATATCAACAATTGTAGATCTAGATATATTGCAAGATCTGAAATATTTGACATGTTGCAAATTCCATGTTCCATGAGAGGATTGGTAAGTATGAACTACAAGAGACTGCAATCTATTTCATTTGAACAATAAACCTGAAGCATCTAACTGATGTTCAGCATCTCAGGATATGACCATTATATTGAGAGAATGGTATGTATATCTAAAGTAGGTGATGGGAGTGATGTCATTTATCACTAAAAGCTAACATATATCATAGGTAAAGGTAAAGATTCCTCTTGACAATTTTTGTCCAGTCGTGTTCGACTCTAGGGGGTGGTGCTCATCCCCGTTTCCAAGCCATAGAGCCAGCGTTTGTCC